CGCGCGTGTCGGTCGTCTGCTGCCATGTGAGCGCCACCTCGGAGGACCGCATGGATATGATGATGTTTGCTCAGACAATGGAGAGAGACTGTTCAGTCTTTGTGCTGATCATCAACTATTCCTCTCCAGCACCAGCTTTCGTCATCCTGGACGCCAGTACGCCACTTGGCGCCCCCCATCATCAACCCAGCGCTGGTCACAGATTGACCACATAGCTATAAGTCGCAGGTGGCGCGGCAGTGTACGCCACTGCCGATCATTTTGGTCAACATGCGTCGACACCGATTATGCACAGGTGTGTGCGACCGTTTGCATGCGTTTTGGTGGTTCGCCTAGGTCAAAACACACCCGACTGAACGCCTACAAGTTGGAGGACCCAATGGTGAAGAGAGGTTATCAACAAAAGCTTCGCGAAAAGCTCCCTCTCTCTCACACTCTGGATGTTGATCAACACTGGTCAAGTCTCCAGCAAGCCTTGTTATCGGCCGGTTTGTCCAGCTGTGGCCTCACTCGCTCCACTCCCAAATGCTGGATCTCGGGAAGATCATCAGAATTGCTGGATCGTCGACGGGCGATGCCTGCTGGCGCAGAGTACAACGAACACCGCCGGTCTATTACGCAACAGCTGAAAGCAAGCCTTCGCTCTGATCGTGAATCTTGGTGGTCAAAACAAGCTGGTGAGATGGAAGCCGCTGCATCAGCTGGCAACTTCCGCCGTCTGTTTTACATCATCAGGGCCACTGGTTGCAATTTCCATGCTATCAGCCAGACGATTTGCGAGGCAGACGGCACGAAGATCACCAACCTTCACAGACGATTGGGTCGCTGGGCAGATCATTTCGCTCTTCAATTCAACCACCCAACACAGCCACAAGTGACACCTCCAGCCCCAATGTATGATGCCTGGCCTGTCTCCACAGCCCCCCCACCCCCCAAATGAAGCAGAGATTCGAAATGTAGTCCAATCTTTGAAACGCCACAAAGCTTCGGGTCCCGACAACCTACCACCAGCTCTATTCAAAGATGGTGGGGGTGTACTTATCAGCGAAAGCTTATCGCTGTTCACGAAAGTTTGGACTGAGGAGAAGGTTCCGAGCTCATGAAGAGAATCGGTCATTGTCCCGATTCACAAGAAGGGTTCCCGCGCCGATTGCTGCAACTACCGCGGAATCTCCCTAATCTCTGTCGCATCCAAAATCTTCGTGTCGGTCCTACTTGGCAGACTTTCAACGACTAGAGAGGAGTTTTCCCGAGAAGAACAAGCCGGATTTCGTCCAGCCCGCGGCTGCATCGACCAAATCTTCACGCTTCGGCAAGTTCTCGAACTTCGTCACATCCACCGGCGGCCAACAATCGTAGTGTTTTTGGACATCCGAGCGGCATTTGATTCAGTAGATAGATCTGCGTTGTGGAACTGTTTACTGAAGAAAGGTGTGCCCAACAAGTTTGTAACCATCCTGAAAGTACTTTACAGTCACATGTCGGGCAAAGTTAGGGCTTACGGCACGCACTCCTCTTCATTCGCTGTGACCAGCGGTGTTCGCCAAGGCTGCCCTATTTCACCTTTCCTCTTCAATTTCGCCATCGAAGATGTTCTCCAAAGAGCACTGGAAGATGTCCAGGACTGCGGTGTTGAGCTTCTCCCTGGAGACAGACTCACGGACTTGGGGGACGACCCACAATCCGTCCAGAACGCTCTGGACCGCTTGGCGATGGAGGCGTCGAAGTACGGCTTATGCTTCACTCCGGGAAAATGTAAAACGCTGCTCCAGGATTGGCAAGTGCCTGAACCCGCGCTCACCATTGCTGGACATGTTCTGGAGCAAGTCCCTTGCTTCACTTACCTAGGGAGTTGCATCACGGCTGGTGAAGGTGTTGGAGATGAAGTCTCACAACGGATTGCAAAGGCCCGCCTTGCATTTATCAAACTGAGACATCTATGGCGTCGTCGTGATGTCAGTCTCAAGCTCAAGGGCAGGGTGTACAATGCTTCCGTCCGTGCAGTACTCTTGTACGGCTGTGAAACTTGGCCTATTCGCTCGGAAGATATGAAGCGGCTATCAGTCTTTGATAATCGTTGTCTACGAAGGATTGCTAGGGTGTGGTGGCAACACCACGTAAGCAACACAGAGGTGAGAGACCGCGTGCTTGGAGCGAATAGGCCAAGTCTTCAAGACGTTATTCTCCGACATCGCATGCGCTGGCTCGGGCATGTTCTGCGCATGCCAGCCCATCGCCTTCCACGTCGAGCGCTATTTGCACTCCCAGGGAGCGACTGGAAAAAGTGCCGCGGTGGACAGCCGATGACGTGGAGAAGGAGTATGAAGAAGGCGACCTCAAGTTTGGCAGCAGTCGGACCAGTCCGCCTTCCAGGTTGGGGACCACGAGATGCTGAATTGCAGTGGTTGGAAACATTGGACGTCATGGCCCGCAACAGACATCAGTGGCGGCAATGTTGTTCCGCAATTTCATCATCCCTTTGATACACACAAAAACTCACAAAACAAAAAATACAAAATGGCGTGTGTAAAACCAAAAAAATCGTTTCCCATATTTTTTAATCGCATTAGTGTTCCCATCTTCTTTACCTTTTTCTTCTACCATGGTTCTGATGGCACAATGTCTGTTAACAGACTGTGAATATATATATATATATATATATATATATATATATATATATATATATATATATATATATATATATATAAAGCCACCAAAACGATGGAAGGTACATTTTCCGTGAAAAGAAAATCGAGCAAAATACAGAGAAATCCATGGCTAGGGCGGTTCAATAATCCTAACGGCTTTGCAGTGGCAGTTCGAAATGGAGGCGAACCAAGCGGATCCCGTAACAGTAGCACTGCGCCAGTTAATGCAGAAGCGGTTACACAGTAACCGAATCAGATTCCAACATAGAAATATCGTTCTATACACCCAAAGTTCATCGAACAAATACATAGTAATACTACAAATTTGGAGTGGGCAATCATGAGAACTCGTCTAGTTGCTTTGAACGCAAAATTTAAGAGTAATGACGATAAAGTGCTGATATGGAGAAACTGAGTTTCTGTAACAGGTTAAGGCAGCTTCCTGTATACGATCACGGAGGTAACAGAGCAGAGATTTTTGAGGAAGACGCAGCTGCAAAGACATACGAATGAACACCCACAGTGTCTCTTCGAATAGGGAGGAAACGATCAAGTAAGAAATAGCCGACATTGTGTCAATAAGCAGTGAGTGTGAAACTATGGTTAGGGTGCCTGAGAATGAAGACAGAAGTCGGTTTGACATACAGCGCTTCGAACCGTTGAAAGACTGGTTGACCACCTACGTATAATGTGAGTAAGCAGTTTGAAGGCAATGTGATTGGTAGCCCGATTGTTTCTACAAGACGTCTCTTGGTCAATTCTAAAGGTTAGAATGATGAGCAGTGAGTGTTAAGCTGAGAGGAAACTTTTCTTTGTCAGGTGGTGCAAAACAGTAGAAGAAACTACATGGCAGTGGCCACCGGCAGGCCTAGACGCCATGTTTCATTACAGAAGCGCCGGTTCGTAACGACGCTAACAGATGCCGAGATGAAGGTCAACAGCATCTCGGATGGCTTGAGACGATAAGGCAACTAAAAAGCTAGTCGAAATGTTTGGTCTATTATTGCAGTTAACGTATGAAATGCCAAAATTTTATGGAGCTTTCTCATTAAGAAACACTGTCACTCGTGCATCAGTTGGGTAAAACATCGATGTCTCGTTCACGTATACATCGTACTATTACTTTAGTTACTCTGTTCTGATTCATGAGGCCGGACCCTCGCAACCAAAAGAAGGAAAGTGTGCGAAAATTAGTAGGCAGGAGCAGCCATACCCAACAGTCCTGACTAAAATACCTTCAGGCTCCTTCTTAAAATATAAAGCGCAGCGAAGTATTGCGCCAGTTGAATCAACGTATATTTCAACCTGATCACGCACTCCTCAATTCATTAATCGCCCCGTTCACCATCGTAACAGAACCCTCGTATAACTAGGAGATAAACTGGACAAGTCATTCGACGTTTATCTCCGGAGAGATTTCGGTGACCAAGACCCTTCAACCAACCGACAGAGGCAAGTTATCAAGGAAACTAGTTAACTTGTCACTGCGGTGAAGCACAGATGAGTAGGCTCCTATACCAGGTGTAAGTCTAAACATGTACGGCAGCAATGTGTTGTAGACAATGATCAGTTTGTTGATTTTCGATATGACTTCATAGTATAGCGTCCAGTGTTGTCGTCGAAGAGTTTGTAGGACTGCCAGAGTCCACCAATCGAGCTTTCATGCCGGTCGTCTCCTTCACGTACTCTTAATACTCGAGAAAACGTTGCACATCCCGACCTTCGAACGACTGTGGTCATGGAAGTTTTGTCCTTTATCAATGGAATATCAGTGCACCGAAAATGGATTAACATGAGTAAATGGCGGCTGCTTAGGTGCAGAAGTATCAACAAACATCCCGATGCAACAAGAATTGTAGTACACAGATGAACGACTATAAAGCAATTCCGACTCAACCGCCTGTGTTAGGTGTTGCAGCTAATATTGATAAACTCGAATGCATGACATTCTGAAATGCATTCTCCAGAATAAAATAATTCAGTTCAAGATAGGAATGTCGGCCTTCGACATACCTGTATATAATGTCTCACCAGCCGAATTTAAACTGGGAAGTTTAGAGTGGAAACGGAGAAAAGGACTCGAACTCAACTTCACCGTAGCGCCAGCAGTGGATGCTAAACCGTAAACAACACATACTGGCAACCACTTACGAGAGAGAAGACAGTGGAATGACCGAAATTGCAACGATATCTGACTTCGAACAGAAAAGTACTAGAAGCCGTGGGACCGTAATGGAAGTGTCCTCAGACAAAGGGAACCGTCAGCCACCAGAAAGATACGGATTGCAAGATTATGAGAGCATGCGATCGATGCAAGTAGCAGCGTGGCATATGGCGGAAAGCACTACTTACCAATCCCAGCCACTGAGAGATGATTCGTGCAGACAGAAGGCTCAAAGTCTCCACATTTAAGGCCTGGCTCGGTACATCGACTCGCGTAGCCAATGACTGAGCAGGCTTTAACATCGGAGCCATTTGACATGCTAACCTCCGAACTGCTGATCACTACAGTTGGCACGCGGAAACGCGAGTGCAACTGGTGAATACACGCCAAAGCAGATTCCTCGTCGGAGATCGAAAGACCAGCGAGGAGCCTAACGGAAAAAGAAAAGAAAGGAATGACACGCTGCAAACAAACGGCAATGTGGTTAAAATGCAACAAGGTGCAGATGACGCAGTGCAGTGAAGGGTAGTGAAATGAACAATTAGTGTTCATCGAGCCAACATACCATGGACCGCTAGAAGACAACAATAAGCATAGGAGTCATAAATAAATAAATACTTCATGCACGATAGAACGAGGCACACCACGACATATGGGATAAGGAAACAATGAGACTGAACCTTACCGTGGTGTGATGATCGTGTGCTTCAGTAATCCATTGAGATGTTCTGGGTGGTGCTGTTTAAACCTTCACATCCAACCATACCAGATCGGTCAGTCGTTGGAAGCAAGACAAACTCAGTCTTCTGGTTGTCCAGATTAAGTTGGAGTGAGGATTGCGCCCTTCTTCATAAAACGAACTCTCTGTAACCCCGTGGCCAAATCCCGCTGTCTTACGGTTTCTGAACCAAAGGCTCAGATTAAGAACCCACATCGTTCTCCTGCCTAGGCTTGGGCAACCTGAGAGTAATCTGCTCCCGCAATATAATGATAAACTTCACACAATTACTTGATGCTATGGTCATCGCAGAGGATAATCAAGGTCGGCCCAGCTGTTGCATCGACCAGGATGGATAGCGATGAGGAGACTACAGCGCAGGTATTCCGGTCTTCTTATCACCACTCTTACTCATTATCACGTTGATCATCCCGGCTCAACAGTACAGTTATCCCCTGTTTTTAAACCTCCAATTATTGGCCCGCTTCCAACTTGTTACGAAAGGCGTTTGTCTTCTAGTTTCGATCCGCACACAATCGTGAAGCATCACTTATGGCCCATTAACAAATACACGTAGCAGAATGTGAATAAACTCAGTGCATCCGTTTCTATTTGACGCTCCAGATGCTCGCTAAGAATGGTGCGCCTCTACGTAAGCAGTTGGTTACAAACCGGTCAAAAAGCATAACTTCGGACACTACGGAACCTATCGTGCGACATCTGCTATTTATCGGGAACCCGCCCGTTGCACTCGAGCTCCGTGCCCACTCTACGATCCCCGTTAAATGATACTGACCGTACTTTCTTACGGCGTCTATCAAAGGATGCAGCTTCGAATGCCGGCCAAGGCAATGTGGACATTCCTCTGAGTTGCGTCATTGATGGTTGGGCTGTTGGAAACAAGATTTCGAATTACATCAAGATGTTATCTCGCTTTCTTCAGGTTGAAGCACTTGTGCAGCCGCCATGACATCCGTCCTTCCATCAAAGGGCGTATTTCCAGTGCCACTGTCCGCACTGTACCGTTTACGAGACCTGTCTTGTTCACACCGTAGACTTGCGCCAACTGTCTCTTTTCGAACACCGTTGTTTGCGATCCAGTACCCATGTGTGGTGGCTATACCATGTAACTAGTGTGGAAGTTAGACAGCGTGTCTTAGATGACGGCAGCCACTAACCCCAGGAGCTCGTCTCGCTGTGGTGATTTGAACACGTATTGCACATGCTCTTTCAGTCTTCCGGGTCGTGCATTGTTCGCGGCTGCTGGACAGGAATGGAGGAGACGGCGTAATGGACAGCCTAAAACTTGGAGAAGCGGTATGAAAACGCTGACAAAACAGTTAACTTCGGTCGGTTGTTTTCCACTCCATGGTTTGGATCTTAGAGATGCGGTGACGCTGGTTGGCGACCATGTAAATCATGGCTCACTGGCGGGCGTGTATCTCTGCGTGCTTCGGCGATTCTCCTTCCCTCACCTAATAAAGCAAACTGTCAAAAAAGTGCATAAACTGTGAGTGGGGAACTAGACAAAAAGGTTGCCTGTATTTTCTTCCCGTTCCGATCCTGTTTTATTAATTAATCCCGCCAGAATTATGCTCTGGCAGACTGTACTGAACATTTAGCACTCGCATTCAATGCAAAGGGAGTGGAGTAATCGTTTTGTATCTGGCAACACAAGCCTGTACTAGTGTCCGCGTGTATTACATTGCGTTCACGAATGAAGCAGCGGCCTCAACACGAGGAAGTCACCGAGACATAATACACTGTAAGACCTGATGAGATCGACTCGCACCAGACGATATGACAAGGTGTAGAGTCTTCGGACGATAATCCGCGCAGACTTGGACTGAACCTGATAGCGACGTGTTGGACCCGTTCGATCATTTGCGCTTCGATTCGGGTGATTGAGCAGAAGGCAGGTAAGCTAGTATTGCACTCATGATAAAAGAGAAGAGGCGAGTGGCGGCCTATTCAGACCAAATACAGAAGCTACGTTTGGGCACTCGAAGCATGCGCAGTCCGTTATGATATAGTCTGTTCGTGTTTTCAAGGGAGTTCAAATCGCAGCGCGAGAGTATACCTAGGTCCTTCACATAAAGTGCGGGATGTAGCGGTTGGTGTAAATTCGGTCATCGTCACTCTTCCCAAATCTCATGAATATCGATTTGCATAGGTTGACCAGGAGGCGGAATGCCGAAGACCACATAGAGAGCCAGTCGAGGTCTTGTTGAAGTAGGCTGCAGTCATCTGGGCTGTTAATTTTTCCAAATCTTCAGGTCGTCCCCAAACAGGGTATACGCTGACCGAGGAAGCTGAGGTGGATCGATGATGATGTGGATTTGGAACCGAGTGGGCCCAAGCACAGTGCCTCGGGCTACTCCACTAGTAGAGGGGTACCAGTTAGTTAGATGGCCGTCGACCTGTACCCTCCAGTTTCGCCCAATAAGAAAGTGCTGGATCCACCGATGCACTAACACCGCACAATCTCAGCCTGAGGAGGAAGACCTCATGGTTTATCCTGTCGAATGCTTTACTGAAACCAATGTAGTTTACGTCGACGGATTTCTCCTGATTCATTGCCTGCAACCATTCATGTCTCGTCACCAGCAAAGTGGTAATGCATGAGCGGCCTAGCATAAAACCGTGCTGTGTGGGCGTCAATAGAACGTTTGATTAGTGCAGCTTTAGTAGACTCTTCTTCACGATCTTCTCAGCAACTTTAGCCAGAGTAGGTGTCAGAAAAATCCACCTGTAGTTGTCCACTGCTGTGGTCCTCGTCTTTTGGAATCGACTTAACTATTGAGCATTTCAAGTCGTTCGGCAGAGAACTTTGGGATAGTGATCTTTTGAACAAGTCAATCACAGCAAGTGAGATGATGGTCGATACGGACGTAAGAATCAGTGGGTGGAATCCGTCAGGCCCAACAGGTCTGGTGCCGTTAATGTTGGCGAGTAGTTGTTGCGCCCGTTCAACATCGCAAACCAGACTCTCGAGTTCGGTAAGCGTGGTATACGTCGAACTCGGTACGGACACAGGATCATTTGGAAAAGCAGAAGCGAAGTGCGTCACCAAGGCGGACGTAAGCTCAATGCTGTAGGTCAGGGGCTGTCTATCCAAGCTCTCTAGCAATGGCAGATCACCTGCCACTTCCTGTGTGCTGATATTCTTTTCGGAGCCGTCTTTGTGGCGGTTGCAAGCTGTTGGTTGCAATGCTGGTTCCAGCTCGTGTTTGCCCTATTGCAAATAGCTCGTTGTCTTATACACCTCGTAATCGTTAGAAGAGCTATAGAGGAAAAATTTGTTCCACAATTTGAGTCACAGCTGAGTCATTTCACCATAATCCATGACGAACCAATGCGGCTTGACTTATCCAATTTTCCGACACTTCAATGGTGCAAACTGGGAACACAGTAATGTTACTCTTTCTCTCTCTCTCTCTCTCTCTAATAATAGTCCAACTATCTTCCACAGATGCAGCCTGTAAATAAAGCCAATCTACTTGGCTCGCGGTTTGAGTTAGACTGTCCAAGTTAGTTTTCCAGTAGTTGTAAGCTGGCTCCAGCGGACGGGAATATGGTATAGATTCATACTGGCAATAAGCATTGGGTGACCGCTTGCTGCTAAGGGACCTAGGACATGAACGTCATACAAATGTTGTTCACAGCTTGTTAACATCAAATCAATGCACGAAGGAGTCGAGCGCGGCGTTATTCGAGCCGGCTGATATGTGTTGTGCTGCATCATTTTCAAGTACTAGATTCACGAACTTGTTTCGACCTCGCAATGTCCGAGCATGAGTTCAATTTCAAACCAGCGTATTTGAGGAAAATTGAAATCACCCATGAGTAAAAAATGGGGACGACTCATGTTGCTTCGGATATGGGGCAGCCAACACAAACAATAGCTCAGGGGAACGCGATAAAATGCATTCATGAGCAGCTCCCTGCGTCTGAAGTGGATTGAGCACCACAGCTGCTCACAGGGACCATTATCGTTTCTGTAGACGCTTACAACTCTCCCACATAAAGAGGATGGGATGTAGAGCAAGATGCGACCGCGGGAAGTCGATGATCTGTCGCAGCGGAAGTATGAGAAACCAGTGAGTTCGAAATCATGGGCTATCACCTAAGAATTCACCCACGTCGCTGCGAGTCCCATTACGTCTGGCCGCCTAGATGCAACGAAACGACAGAGTTCATCGCGCTAGTTAATAAGACTACAAATGTTGGTAAAGGCTGTTCGCATGCTGCAGCAAGAACCACCGGGCATGCTTGAAGTGTGAGCAACCTGTTTAGTTTGCTTCGTAGAATGTTAGAAACGACACCAAAAATTACGATCCGGAGATTTGTTTCCCCATCATCATTTCGTCACTTCAGCTCAATGATAGCATAATCATCATTCATCATTATACACGTTATCAAAGAATGGTAAACATCTCAGCCAGTGTGCAGCAATACATAAGTGAAAAGAAAAAACCTCCAATCGATGAAGGTCAGCTGAGTCACCAGTAACGGATGGGCATCGCTCGGAAAATCTTCCAGCAGGAATAGTGCCGCAAGAAATTATATTATGCAAAATTTATAGAATGCTAGGAAATGAGATCGTGGTTGCAAGGGGAGGCTAATCGAGAGGGAGAGGGACAAAGGAACTCACAACACAAACGCCACTGAGGTCATTCGCTATTTGTAAGCAGCGGTAGAATCAAGCACAG